AGCCTGCAGGAAAGTTTTCCACAAACATTTCACTTTATATTGAAGTTGTCATTTTCTCATCAAAAATAAATCCAGTTCAAAAACTTCACCGTTTTACCAAAGAGCTGTTATATGCCCCAAAATGTAGAGAAATTTATTTTCACAAAGGAAGAAGCTACTTCCCACCAAAAAGTCACTGTTTCAAATTCAAAGGGGCAGGAAAAAAGAGAGGGGCACAAGAACGGGAGGGCGACAGAAAAAGCACGAAGCGACGAAGCACGAACGAAACGAACGAACGAACGAAACGAAGAACGAACGAACGAACGAACGAACGAACGAACGAACGAACGAAAACGAACGAACGAAAGAACGAACGAACGAAAAAACGAAAACGAAACGAACGAACGAACGAACGAACGACGAAGAACGAACGAACGAACAACGAACGAACGAACAAACGAAACGAACGAACGAACGAACGAACGAACGAACAACGAACGAACGAAACGAACGACGAACGAACGAACGAACGAACGAACGAAACGAACGAACGAACGAACGAACGAACGAAAACGAACGAAGAAACGAACGAACGAACGAACGAACAGAACGAACGAAAAACGAACGAAACGAACGAACGAACGAAAACGAAAACGAACGAACGAACGAACGAACGAACGAACGAAACGAACGAACGAACGAAGAACGAACGAACGAAACGAACGAAAACGAACGAACGAACGAACGAACGAACGAACGAACGAACGAACGAACGAACGAACGAACGAACGAAACGAACGAACGAACGAACGAACGAACGAACGAACGAACGAACGAACGAAGAACGAACGAACGAACGAACGAACGAAACGAACGAAACGAACGAACGAACTAACGAACAACGAACGAACGAACGAACGAACGAACGAACGAACAACGAAAACGAACGAAAACGAACGAACGAACGAAACGAACGAACGAACGAACGAACAACGAACGAACGAACGAAACGAACGAACGAACGAACGAACGAAGAACGAACGAACGAACGAACGAACGAACGAAAACGAAGGAACGAACGAACGAACGAAACGAACGACCGAACGAACGAACGAACGAACGAACGAACGAACGAAACGAACGAACGACGACGAACGAACGAACGAACGAAGAACGAACGAACGAACGAACGAACGAACGAACGAACGAACGAACGAACGAACTAACGAACGAACGAACGAACGAAGAACGAACGAACGAACGAAACGAACAAGAACGAACGAACGAACGAACGAACGAACGAACGAAAACGAACGAACGAAACGAACGAACGAACGAAACGAACGAAACGAACGAACGAACGAACGAACGAACGAACGAAAAACGAACGAACGAACGAACGAACGAACGAACGAACGAACGAAAAACGAACGAAAACGAAAGAACGAACGAACGAAAACGAACGAACGAACGAACGAACGAACGAACGAACGAACGAACGAACGAACGAACGAACGAACGAACGAGAACGAACGAAAACGAACAAGAACGAACGAACGAACAACGAACGAACGAACGAAACGAACGAACGAACGAACGAACGAACGAACGAACGAACGAACGAACGAACGAACGTAACGAACGAACGAACCGAACGAACGAACGACAACGAAACAACGAACGAACGAACGAACGAACGAACGAACGAACGCAACGAACAGAACGAACGAACGAACGAACGAACGAACGAACGAACGAACGAACGAAAACGAACGAACGAACGAACGAACGAACGAACGAACGAACGAACGAACGAACGAACGAACGAACGAACGAACGAAGAACGAAGACGAACGAACGAACGAACGAACGAACGAACGAACGAACGAACGAACGAACGAACGAACGAACGAACGAACGAACGAACGAACGAAGAACGAACGAACGAACGAACGAACGAACGAACGAAACTAACGAACGAACGAACGAACGAACGAACTAACGAACGAAAGAACGAACGAACGAACGAACGAACAACGAACGAACGAACGAACGAACGAACGAACGAACTAACGAACGAACGAACGAACGAACGAACGAACGAACGAACGAACGAACGCACGAACGAACGAACGAACGAACGAACGAACGAACGAACGAACGAACGAACGAACGAACGAAACGAACGAACGAACGAAGAACGAACTAACGAAACGAGCGGAACGAACGAACGAACTAAGAACGAACGAACGAACGAACGACGAACGAACGAACGACGAACGAACGAACGAAACGATACGAACGAACGAAGACGATACGAACGAACGAACGAACGAACGAACGGAACGCACAACGAACGAACGAACGAACAACGAACGCACGAACTAACGAACGAACGAACGTAACGAACTAACGAACGAACGAACTAACTAACGAACGAACTAATAACGAACGAACAGAAAGAACTAACTAACTAACGACCGAACTAACGAACGAACGAACGAACGAACTCAACGAACTAACTAACAACTAAACGTAACTAATAACATAACTAACTAACTTAACTAACAACTAACTAATTAACTAACTAACTAACTAATTAACTAAACTAACTAACTAACTAAAAGTCACCTTCTTTTTACCAAAAAAATCATATTTTACAAAAATTACTTTTTCACAAAATAATAATTTTGCACCCAAAATGACGGTTTCAACAAAACCTCACTTTTTCTCCTTAATTTTTCATTTCAGAATAACATTTTTAGCAAAAACTCACTTTTCATCTAAAAGTTATTTTTATATACAACAATTAAAATTTTATAGAAAATTTCTAAATAAGTATTTGTATGCAGTTTCAAAAAAAATCTCCATCATTACAAATTATTTGTAAACGAATACATGTTCATGTTTATTTGTTGCAATTTGTATTTGTCTGTTTTTAAACAATTTTCTTTTTAGCATTTCGTAATGCTTTTAGGAAAATACCATAGTGTTTTGTTTTTAGTTAAAACTATCCTCAAGTGATAATAATTTGTGTATTTTTTGTTAAAATTTTTGCTTTTATATCTTAATTTTGCTTAAACTTTTTAGTAAATAAATTATACAGTCTTTTGTATATGTAGTGGATTTTGTTTCTCATTTTATCTTATTTTTAATGGTTTGTAATTTTTGTTATTTTTTTGCTCGTTTGATGATTTTTTTTATATATTTATGGTTTTTTTTTTGTAATTTTTACACAAACAGTAGAAAAAAATAGCAAATATTTTTGCTGTGTTATTTTGTGTTCATAACAAACGAACCATTAATTTACGCCCTGATTTTCAAATTAAGTATAATGACATTAATTTCATTATTTTGCTGTACTCTTTCCCTGGTTAATGATAAATTTTGTAGTAAAATCAGAAATAAAAATACATTACAATAATGAACCTTTTTCGCCCTTTGGGAATGTTCATATAAAAGGATTTTTTTTAACAAGCTCAAATCACTAACCTAAGGATAGAAAGCCTAAGGGCAATTTTTTAATTAGGAAGTAGTTAAAAAATGCAGAAATTTTAACAAGCCTAAAGAATTATTAAAAAAATGTATTTTTTTTTAATTTTTTAAATGGTTTTAAATTTTTTACATATTTTTAAAAATGTTTGCCATAGTCTCTCTTTAAGTTTATTTATTTGTAGATAAATATTATTTTAGCTGAATTTTTCTTATTTTATTTAATTTTGTTTAACGCTGGCTTCCTTCTTTATCCTTTGGGTGCAAATTTTTTAAGCTTACAAGAAAAATAAATACAAATTTGCATTTTGACGAGATACATGTCTGGTAATATTTGAATGTCAAGCTGCTTGCTAGAGAAATGCAAACAACAAAAAATATAGAATGCCTGAATAAATAATATTCAGAGACTACATACAAATAGTTGAGAAAAAAACTAAACAGAATGCAAAATAGACATTATGACAAAAACGTTTAAAAAAAAAGTTAAATATGGAGTAAAATGCAATGAAAATATATATCAGCAGATTGCTAGATATGTTGAACTTGAAGGCAATAAAGTAGTCGTTAACTAAAGTTAAAGTTTAGCGACAAGCGACTTTTTATGGTAAAAGTTCCATTCCAAAATTATATTTTCTTTAATAAAAGTTAAAATCCTTAGACCAAGTTCAACGTTTCTAAAGGATTGAGGTTCGCTAAATCACATCTGAGATTTGAGATATCGTGTCCTATAATTTGAAGTACCGCCCTTTTTAAGATGCTATCTAAGGCTTAACTGAGGATGTTCCAGTCGACTTTAAATCACTTTCTGATTCTAACGATGTCTGTCCGTCCGTCAACTTCAATGGATGATATCTCAACAACTACAGTAGAATTTACAACAATTCAACAATCCAATTGAAAAATTGGAATGCACAAGCTTTTTGTAAAATAAAAGCAAATGTACGATAAAATACAGTTTTTGTAAATTTTTTGTTATATCAAGCGAATCTCGAAAAAGAAAGACGATATGTCTGATGTTAAACCTTTATTTTGAAGTTGACCGAATGGACTTTTAGATGGCATGCAACATTTTATATATAACGTTGTCTTCGAGCAATTATAACGTCTCAAAAAGGTCCAAAATATGGCGCTTTTTTTTCAAACTTTAGAACTAAATTGAAACATTAATAGTCCAATGTTTGTAACTACTGGCAATTTTCCAAGTTTAATAGTCAAAATAAATGGTTTAAATCATTATATTAAGAAAATATTTAAACTGTCAATTTCCTACTTACCCATTTATCTCTCTCTTTACTAACATTCTTTGATAAATTTCTTTCCATAAATAAAATCTTTGGTTTAAAATTCAAATTGCTCACCATGATGTATAAGCAATAAATAATGTCATTAATATCACTCATACGCACACATTACAAGCAATATTTTTTTTCATACTGTCAATTTGAAAACATTTCCCATTTGTACAATTTATCTATTTTCATTGTTTGTTTTTACATTTCTTTTTCTCTTTTAAAATATATTTACAGGTTAATGTTAGTAACACCTGGACAATGCCACAGGAGGGTCTTAATGTATTTTATCGTTTCTTTCGTGATCGAATATCATGGTTTGAAGCTGATGCTGTTTGTCAATTCCATCATGCCAATCTGGTGACAGGTAAAATATGTTCGTTCATACACTAAATTTCCAACAAGAGAATAAAAATACAACAAAACAGAGGTACAAGAGTACAAGATAAAATGAAAAAAAGTAATTTAATTTTTTCTCGTCCAAGAAAATTAAACAAGAATGAAAATTGTCTACCTTTAGGCCATATTGTTATTTTTTTCTCTTGTTTCTGCATTAGTCTTGCTGTTATTTACAAATGTCACTAACACTGTTAGAAAAATTTTTTAAAAAAGGCAGCAGCAGCAGCTATAGAAAAAAAATACAGTTCCTTGGCCAAGCTCTTATTGAGGCCAACTTGGCAGGTAAATGACAGACAAGTGTAGCTACAGACTGTAAAAGACATGTAGAATGTGCTTAGATATGAACGATTTAAAAAAATGTTGAAAACTTATTTGAATGAACAGTGTGTGGGTAGAGAGAGACAGAGACAAAGAGTCAGTCAGTCAGTTTGAAATAAAAATGACAAACCATATAAAACGGCCGGCAGCAGATATACTAAAGAAAAATGTTTACAATAAACAACTATTAGATAAACAAATAGAATAGCAACCCAAGTAGATATATTTTTTAATTTTGTTTATTTTTTGTTATTACAGTTCGAGGCTATGAAAAATAATATTAAAGAAATAAAAACAAAAAAATGTATTTGCAAATCCAATAAAAAAACAAAAACCTAGTGATAACATTTAAACCATTAAGGACTGTCCAGATGAGTGGTTTGGCAATGTACTTAAAGTGGGAATATTTTGAAAGTAAGAATCGAAAAGGTTCCTATTGTCTTTCTTAGCCCTTTTATGTTCTCGACCCATAGTCGAATCCTTCATTCCAGCAATTTTAAAAAGAACAACTGCATAATTTTTGATTTCCCTATATCACACAATCTCCGTCACTTTTTGGGAACTATAAATATTAACAATAAATATTAGGTTTATTTTTCTACCACAATATATCCTAAACACTTGATTGATAAAAATATTTAGAAATAACATTTAAGATGAGTATTTAAGAAAATACTTGAACAGACAAGAAAATAAACAAAATCTACCCCATAAACATACTACAAAAAATCCTTTAAAGCTCTTACCAAAAAATGATGAAAAATTCTGTCTAAGGATGACAACAACGTAGAAAAACAACCATTAAAAATATAATAAAAAATATAGAGAAAACCAACCTAAAAACTTAAGGACAAACTAGTGAGGGTCAAAAAAAATCACCAAAAACTGAATTTGAGAGCATTTCCATTTGATGTTGGAAATGATATCACTTAAAATGCAACATGTTTTATACAGTGTACCATACAAATCTGCGTAGGACATCATGTATGTATGTACATAAAATTGACTCATTGGGATGGCCTCCGAGAAACTCATCATTTTTATAATTTTTTTCCCTATAAATTAACGATTTAATTCATGCTTCGACCAAATAATCGATTTTTGAGGTGAAATATGGGTGATCACAGAATAGCGCTGTTTTTTTCGATTTACACGCGTTTTTAACAAGTTATAGCCGATATGTTTTCGACCAAACAATCAATTTTGTGGATGAAGTCATGGGTGATCACAGAATAAGCTTGTTTTTCGATTTAATGCGTTTTAACGATGTTATAGCCGATTTTATGTTTTTGTCCAAAAACTCGATTTTTGAGGTGAAATATGGGTGATCACAGAATAAGTTGTTTTTCGATTTAAATGTGTTTTAACGAAGTTATAGCCGGTTTTGTGTTTTCGACCAAAAATCAATTTTTGGATTGAGGTATGGGTGATCACAGAATAAGCTTGTTTTTGTATTTAAATGCGTTTTAACAAGTTATAGCCGATTTTATGTTTTCGACCAAAAAATAAATTTTTGGATTGAAGTATGGGTGATCACAGAATAAGCTTGTTTTCGATTTAAATGCGTTTTAACGAAGTTATAGCCGATTTTAATGTTTTCGACCAAAAATAAATTTTTGGATTGAAGTATGGGTGATCACAGAATAAGCTTGTTTTCGATTTAAATGCGTTTTAACGAAGTTATAGCCGATTTTATGTTTTCGACCAAAAAATAAATTTTTGTATTGAAGTATGAAGATTTAAATGCGTTTTAACGAAGTTATAGCCGATTTTATGTTTTTGTCCAAAAACTCGATTTTTGAGGTGAAATATGGGTGATCACAGAATAAGCTTGTTTTTCGATTTAAATGCGTTTTAACAAAGTTATAGCCGATTTTATGTTTTTGTCCAAAAACTCGATTTTTGAGGTGAAATATGGGTGATCACAGAATAAGCTTGTTTTTCGATTTAAATGTGTTTTAACGAAGTTATAGCCGATTTTATGTTTTCGACCAAAAAATAAATTTTTGTATTGAAGTATGAAGATTTAAATGCGTTTTAACGAAGTTATAGCCGATTTTATGTTTTTGTCCAAAAACTCGATTTTTGAGGTGAAATATGGGTGATCACAGAATAAGTTTGTTTTTCGATTTAAATGCGTTTTAACGAAGTTATAGCCGATTTTATGTTTTTGTCCAAAAACTCGATTTTTGAGGTGAAATATGGGTGATCACAGAATAATTTTGTTTTTCGATTTAAATGTGTTTTAACGAAGTTATAGCCGGTTTTATGTTTTCGACCAAAAAATCATTTTTTGGATTGAGGTATGGGTGATCACAGAATAAGCTTGTTTTTGTATTTAAATGCGTTTTAACAAGTTATAGCCTATTTTATATTTTCGACCAAAAAATAAATTTTTGGATTGAAGTATGGGTGATCACAGAATAAGCTTGTTTTTCGATTTAAATGCGTTTTAACGAAGTTATAGTCGATTTTATGATTTAGACCAAAAAATCGATTTTTGAGGTGAAATATGGGTGATCACAGAATAAGCTTTTTTTCGATTTAAATGCGTTTTAACGAAGTTATAGCCGATTTTATGTTTTTGTCCAAAAACTCGATTTTTGAGGTGAAATATGGGTGATCACAGAATAAGCTTGTTTTTTTCGATTTAAATGTGTTTTAACGAAGTTATAGTCGATTTTATGTTTTCGACCAAAAATCAGTTTTGGGATTGAAGTATGGGTGATCACAGAATAAGCTTGTTTTTCGATTTAAATGTGTTTTAACGAAGTTATAGCCGATTTTATGTTTTGGTCCAAAAACTCGATTTTTGAGGTGAAATATGGGTGATCACAGAATAAGTTTGATTTTCGATTTAAATGTGTTTTAACGAAGTTATAGCCGATTTTATGTTTTCGACCAAAAAATCAATTTTTGGATTGAAGTATGGGTGATCACAGAATAAGCTTGTTTTTCTAATTAAATGCGTTTTAACGAAGTTATAGCCGATTTTAGTTTTTCGACCAAAAAATCGATTTTTGGGATTGAAGTATGGGTGATCACAGACTAAGCTTGTTTTTTCGATTTAAATGCGTTTTAACGAAGTTTATAGCCGATTTTATGATTTAGACCAAAAAATCGATTTTTGAGGTGAAATATAGGGTGATCACAGAATAAGCTTGTTTTTCTAATTAAATGCGTTTTAACGAAGTTATAGCCGATTTTATTGTTTTCGACCAAAAAATCGATTTTTGAGGTGAAATATGGGTGATCAAGAATAAGCTTGATTTTCGATTTAAATGTGTTTTAACGAAGTTATAGCCGATTTTTATGTTTTTGTCCAAAAACTCGATTTTGAGGTGAATATGGGTGATCACAGAATAAGCTTGTTTTTCGATTTATAATGTGTTTTAACGAAGTTATAGCCGATTTATGTTTTCGACCAAAAAATCAATTTTGGGATTGAAGTATGGGTGATCACAGAATAAGCTTTTTTTTCGATTTAAATGCGTTTTAACGAAGTTATAGCCGATTTTATGTTTTGGTCCAAAACTCGATTTTTGAGGTGAAATATGGGTGATGTCACTGAATAAGGTTGTTTTTCGATTAAATGTGTTTAACGAAGTTATAGCCGATTTTATGTTTTCGACCAAAAAATCCATTTTTTGGATTGAAGTATGGGTGATCACAGAATAAGCTTGTTTTTTCGATTTAATGCGTTTTAACGAAGTTATAGTAGCGATTTTATGTTTATGTCCAAAAAATCGAATTTTGAGGTGAAACATGAAGCTTATTTTGAATGATCACAAAATAAGCTTGTTTTTCGAGTTTAAATGCGTTTTAACGAAGTTATAGCCGATTTTATGTTTTTGTCGAAAAATCGATTTTGGGGTGAAACATTAAATGTGTTTTAACAAAGTTATAACCGATTTTATGTTTTCCACCAAAAAATCGATTTTTTCAAGTAAATTATTGGTGATCAAAAAATAAGCTTGTTTTCGATTTAAATTGCGTTTTAAAAAAGTTATGGCCAATTTTATGTTTTTGTCCAAAAAATCGATTTTTAAGGTGAATATGGGGTGATCACAAAATAAGCTGTTTTTCGATTTAAATGCCTTTAACAAGTTATAGCCGATTTTGTGTTTTCGACCAAAAAAATCGATTCTTGGGGTGAAATATGAGCGATCATAGCTTGTTTTTCAATTTAGATGCGTTTTAACGAAAACTAGATTTTTGTGTCGATATATGTGTGATCAACAATGGTTATAGTGCCAAGTGAAGTACCTCTCTTTATAATCTAAAATACATACTTTTAGTTACTCAAACAGTAGGAAAATCAGTTTAAAATATTTAACAAAGATATTGAAACATTTTAGAATTCATGTATGTATGTACATATGAAAGTGTAGTTCAACAATTTTGTTTAAGGACGTATCTTGTGTATTAATGCCTAGAATTTGTGATTCTGTTTTTGCCATAAAGTCTGTACGTACTAAAGCTACATACAGTGTCTCACATAAATATTCGAATTTATTATTTTTATGAATACAGTGTTATTTTATGATGTTACTTTAAAAATAATAATAGTATTTAAAAATTTTAATGAAATTTTATTAATTTATATATTTCTACGAAATACAAGAAAAAAGTAATAAAACTCATTAATGGTTCCAAGAAAATGAAAAAACCCAAAAAGGGTCATTTCAGGTACTGCGCAAAAATATTCGAATTTTTTCTAAGAACTTCTTTAGAATCCTTGAACACGTGTTTTATTGCCCATTACTTAACCCATTATGCAGGTAGTGGTTATATGGAATATTTAACATTATATTTTTTGGAAATTTGCATAATTATGTTGTAAATCCTTCCTGTGTAAGCGCTTAAAATGTCCAAAGAAAAAGAGTTGATCAATTCAAATTAAAAAATTAATTTATATCTGAATAATCAAGGCCGATCAATTAAATACATATAGGAAATGGTTGATAGATTCCCATCGACAATATATTTGTCATTACACGCATGGAACAAAGAATTCCATTGAGTATTTACCATTATCAAGTCGTCCAAAACTGCTGTCAATACAGGACGACAGAGAAATACTGAGGAAATACCGAAGGAACCTTCATCTATCAGCTCCAAAAATTAACAACGAACTCATGACAGTCCTGTGAATAAAAATTAGTGTCGAAATTGTGGGCAAAGTACTAGGGAGCAATAATTTGCATGGTCAAGTACCAAGGTGGAAACCGCTCATATCGAAGTTAATCGATGTTAAGTGTCTTTGACTCCGCAAATAGACTCATAAGTAAGAATATTGGATTCTGGAAGGAAGTTATCTTCGACGATTAGAACAAATATAATATTTTTGGCTCAGATGGTCGTCAAATGATATGGCGAAAGCTTGGAGAAGCCTTGGAATTATCTAACTTAAAACCAACTGTAAAGGACCCAAGTTGCTCTGCCATATTTTGGGGTTCTGGTGTTCGTCCACGGTGTTGGAGTGCTAAAATTTATTATTGTAATTATAGACTAGAAGGTCCACTTGTCAATTTTAGAGCAGAATTTGCATGCTAGTACCACCAAAATGGGGCTACAACCCATTCAATTTATTTTTCAACAGAAAAAACGATCCAAAATACACGACCTGGTACGTGAAAATGTTGATCATTTACAACACTAAGTATCTTCTTTCACCAAATTTTCAATGGAGTATATGTCTGGACTTAAACTCCATTGAAAATTGTGGTTATATTTACAAGAACAACTTTTAAATCACTCATTATCCTCTAAAACCACCATACGGTTGCTTTGCATGAAGAATGGGACATAATAACGCCAGAACTATTCCATAAATTGGTAGAAAACGGTCCCACGGCGCTTGGAAGTTGTTTTTTAAAAACAAAGGCTACTATACAAAACATTAATTTCATTTTAATTATTTATTTTTACTTCATAATGCTAATCTAAATATGATTTATACAAAAAATTCGAATAATTTTGTGAAGCTATTTTTTGCACTTTTTAAAAAAAATAAAATTAGTTTAAGTAAATTATTTTTTTTTTTAATTTTTAAAATGTGGTATAAAATTTAAGGACTGTCTGGACAACATAATAAATTTATTTATTAATTTTTCCCACAAAATCTATTATAAAATGATGTCTGTTTTCATAATACATTAAATTCGAATACTTGTGAGAGACACTGTAGATAAATATGTAGGATATGTGTATGTGCTAGATATATAAAGTGTATATTCATTCAAGCATAGACAACTCATCGACATAAAAATACACGAACAAGTAAACAGCTTTTCCAAGAACACATTCAAACCCTCTTAAATCCATTTATAAAATACCAAAAAAAAAAAAAAATAGAAAAACTGTAACAGCAGCCAATATAATAATGTAAAGATAGAATGAATAAAGGACTGAATGAATGACTGTAAGACTGGCTGAGTGAATGAGCGAAAGAATAATACAAAAGGGATCTTATGTGATTTTTAGTATTTTGTTACGACAAGGTGTCACAGTTGCAGTGACATGACAAACTCAGACTCATGTACATAAATATAAGAGATATATTATATTCTTCTTAAGTAATATTGTTTTTTTTTTTTTTTGGTTTTATTAGACATACATATCTACCATATGTTTTTTTTTTTAATTTTTTGCTAGATAAACGTTAAAAAAAGGTTTGTTCAGACGTTTGTATGTTGACGATTAGAAATCGTCAATTTAAATTTTTAAAAATTGTCTATAATATTTATTGCTTACTTAAAAGAAATTGTCTGGAAAATATTGGAAGGCTATTAAGATAATTTAATACCCTTTCATTATTTATTTAACTGTCATTTGAACAAAACAAATTTTAGTATTAAGTTTAAGTACCATTAATTATAAGTATTTGACATGGCATACACATGTTCTAGTTCAGTTCTAGTTCAGTTCTAGTTCAGTTCTAGTTCAGTTCTAGTTCAGTTCTAGTTCAGTTCTAGTTCTAGTTCAGTTCTAGTTCAGTTCTAGTTCAGTTCTAGTTCAGTTCTAGTTCAGTTCTAGTTCAGTTCTAGTTCACTTTTAGGTATAGATCAAAGTATTTTATTCTATCTTTCATTTAAATAACAAATTTTTCATTCACGAATTTGTTTTTATAACACCCAATAACAAAACCGATGTTTGTTTCAAAATTAAAATAATTTTCAAAACAAACTACTCTCCTCAAATATAATTTTTTTTTAGAAAACATGCAAATTATTATATTTAGTCAGATTTAAATTTTAATAATTTAAAAATGTTTATATTAATGTACAATGTACATACTTTATATATACCGAGTTTTACTTAGTTACTTTTATCCTTATTCTATTTCTATTTTAAATTTGTTTCTGTTTTTTTCTTTTCTTTTTCTATATTTCCATAGTTGACAACAGTTTTCAATTTGATGCAACCAGAGACCTTTTAAGAGAATTAGATGTTAACGACATTGTTTGGATTGGTCTTATGAGACCTCAAAGCTCTGATCGTTTTATGTGGTCGTAAGTATTAAATGTAGAGAAAAAAAAAACATACATATGTACATATCACTCTACACAGCTAAACAATGTATTCATCTAATACAGCAAACCTACATATTTATTATGTGTATATTATGAATAGATGTGTTAAATCACAACTATATACACTTTATACATAAATATACCCATATATGTATATTTTATAGTACAAAATATACACATATTATGTATTTAAACATAAACACAAATTCTCTTTCCTATATTTTAATACCATTACTAGACTCTAGTTAAACACAAGTTTTATGAAGCATATGAATGTATATTTATAAAAGTTTGTGTACAAAAAAATTGTTTATTTTTATTTAATATTTTTTTCTACTTTTTGCACAAATTCTATATTCAAACATATTTTTTATTAGAGCAGGGAGTCATAAAAATAAAATGTACATATAGAAAATTTGGTTAGTATGTTTCGAAATGTTGTTCCAGGATGTTGGAGAAATTATTAAAAACTTTGTTTACATGTGACTGAATATTTATTGATTTTTTTATTAGAAAAACTGTAGTTAACAAAATCTACAACAAACAACAAAAAAGTGTGAATATTTTGGGGATGTATTTAAATAGAGGTTTTTATACCAACTACAAGGACACTTATTTATTTGTTATATTTTTATATATAAAGGAAGTAGCTTTACTAAAGAGCCGTCAAACATAGAAGCAATTCGGTTTTATTTTATTGTTTATTTGTTTTTTCTCTTTTTGCAAAATAAATGTTGGAAATTTCTAAGTTTGGAAAGTACTTAATAAATGCTTAAAATTAAAGAAAATAACAAGATCTATGGCTTAAAGTGAAAGCTCACAAAGGAAAAAATAGAGTAAGCTTTCTCTATATCTATGGACTAAAACTATAAACTAGACTCTACACTAAATAAAAACTAGATTAAATACTAGTCTTGTTTGGGATATATGTAACTTTATCTTACCATTTTATGTACAACAGCTGCACTTTCTTAATTTCTTTTGATTTTATACTTACCACCATTAACTCAACTCTTCAATGTCATGTTTATTACCAATTTTCTCTTTCTTCTTTTTTTTATTACTTTTCCAATATCAAGTAGCAATTCGAGACCTTTAGTAGCAGACACTGGCTATTGGGCTGAATCTTTGCCCTTAATGGATGCCCCATTGTGTGCTGTAATTGATCCCATACGTGATTATCGTTGGCATGCTTTACGTTGTGGCGGTCCAGAGACAGCATCCTTTTTATGTGAAATGCCAGGTATGTAGTAGAAAGGAAATTAAATGAAAGATTCCCACGAAACTTAATTAAACTACAATTTAAATCAAACAATGTCGAGTGTAATCAGATTTTATTTTTTAAATTAATTTAACATAATTTCCTGTGCTCTTATTGTCTGTCTTTTTTATGGTTTTCTTTTTGTAGTACCCAGCTGGGCAGATGCTTGTAATTTAAAGGACATGCCAAATTTAACCTTGCAATATATGGCTGATACAGCCAGTATTGAATTAATACGAAATTGTCAAGAGGAAGGTTTGTTAAGGACAATGTGTAGAGGCAAACAGGTGGGTTCTAAATACTTTAAACAAACATAATTTCATTTTATGAAAGCTAAATGAAAAATAAATTTAATTAAACAATTTTAATGGTTTGATGTTTGTTTGTTTTTTCAGGATCGAGAAAGAGCTTTACAAGATTTGATTTGTCCTAGAGAACGTTTGGAAGCTCAACGCATTAATGATATTACCAATTCCCATTTCAAATCATTGCAAATAATCAATTCCATACCCTCGGATAATAATGAAAATAATGATATAGAACTTTTGCCCCTGGAGGTGAACTATGGTCCCCATTATCCTGAGGAACTGCAAACCGAAAAGAATACCGTACAGCGTCTTATAGAACAATTTAATGTGGATGAGCTAATGCAGGCTGATGAACCCTCTAATATGGAAACTGTTAGTTCATTCTATAAAATACCCGGTCTTATACCCAAACCAGTTAAGAAATCAGCCAAAAAGGTTTTGGATTATCCCAAAAAGGATAACGGCAAACAAAAGGGTGGCGACATGACAGGAGAACAAACACAGAAGGATAAGAAGAGATTGGAAATGGAGGATATGATGATGGGTGATCAGCCTTTACAGGGAGAACCAGAAATGCCCGAACAATTTTTAAATGAAGAAGTATCAAATGAAATATTGGAACCTTTGCCTCACATAAAGAAAACCAATATACACAAAGAAGATGGTTTGGAGAAAATGGAAAAAGAAGCCACAGCCATGAAGAAAAGTATGCAAAAATCTAAGGAAATGGAAAATAAGAAAATGTTAATGATGAGCACAAGCACAACAACAACTACAACGACGACAACAACAACAGAGCCGGCCAGCACAACAACAACAACCACAACGACCACTAGCGCACCAACTACAACAACAGAAAAACTTTTGACAACCACTGTTGATATACACTCAACAACTAAAGCTGATGAAGTGACAACAGCTAACGAAGACCACACTCATAAACATCATCATTATGAAACTCATGCAGAATTTGAGAGTTCCGGTGGACATTTGACAACAGCCTCTACGTCCGCCACCATTGGACATCCAATGCATCCCCAACAGCCACGCAGCAATGTAATTACCGAAGAAACTCAACATCCTCATGCCAAAGAATCTGCAGACAGTTCACATTTCATACCACCCATGCTTATGGTAAAATCTCATTATGTGCCACCTGCAAACAAACATGGTCACAATGAACATGAACATCATCAGCACCATCAACAACAACAACTGCATCATGAGGAGGATCAAACTCACTTAGAGACCACAACTGAAGAACAAGCTGAGACAACAATAACCAAGCAGGAACAAAATCAAACCTCAGATAATGTTATGGCGGTGACAACTCCTAAAGTTTTGGATTTAGAGAAAACTACATTAAAGACTTTGGACACCTCAGTCAGTAGCAGCAGTAGTACAGAAAGCGAAAAACAAATTGCCACAACTAGACAGGAAGAACAAAAAACAGCAGCAATAACAACAACTACTGAAAGTGACAGCAGCATAAAACCAATTACAGAACAGCAAACAACGGAAGCGGAACAACGTAAAAATTCCAAAAATTTACATTTCGAGGAAATACAAACCACAATGACCGCAACAACTATGCAGACAGTTGCCTCTACAACTACAGCATCAGCAATAACTACCAACACCCAGGATAAAATTTCGAATAACGAAGAAACAACTTTACCAAACAGTAGCTTTGAAGAAATTAATAAAAATAAAGCTGGCCATGAAAAAGTTGAGGAGGAGACACCACAAACAATATACACAGATGGCAAAGAAACAACACAAAGCACAAGACTGGTGGCAACAACAGAAAAATCCTTAATAACCACAGAAAAACTTTCGGATTTACAGACAACAGTAGACAATATACAAAAAATACAAGAAATTGATGATACAACAACAGCTGCAGCAGCAACAGAGACAACAAAGCAACAACAACATGTGATAACAAGGGAAGAAAAACTGTTGGCAATAAAAAATGAAGAACATAAAGAACATTTACAAACAATTGCAACCACACAGAAACTAGCAACAACAGAAAGAGCTGAAGTAATAACAACATCAACAATGTCAGCACAAATGCAACAACAAAATCCAACTACAATAATAACAGAAACACAAAGTTTACAAGAAACGGAAAAAAATCTAGAAGATGAAAATCAAGAGAAGCAAGAAGAGGACGTCGACAAACAAAAGGACCAAGATAAAAAGGAAACAATTGTAAAAACAACGGAAATACTAGTAACATCATTGGCAACAGCCAAAGAAGAAGAAGATACAGCAAAAACAACAACAACACTGGCAACACCAACAACATCAAGCTCAAGTATAACCACAACTACAACTGTTAAACCGATTACTACAACTACACCACAAAATGAAGTAAAATCAACTGAAACTTCCTTTTCCTCTACGAGCAGCAGCATCAGCAGCACTACAACTAATATGCCAATAACAACAACTACTACTAATGGAGAGACCAGCACTACCACCAATACAACACCCACCACAACAACATTTTCAACAGTGGTGGCATCATCAACCTCACCAGCATTAACAACTACAACAATAGATAACGAAGCTGAATCAGCAACAGCCCGAGCAGAAACATCAACAGAAACATCATCACCACCTGAAACTACTCGCAACTTTTTAAAAGTTACCACTGAAATGCCATTTAAACCAAATCGTCGACGCTCTCTTACTAAACCGGAAACAGTAAGTTATATGAAAAAAATTTTAGGTTAAGTAATAAAAATAACAAAAAAAAAAAAAACCCACATACATACACGCATACAACAGCAAATGTTTATATAGAAAAAAGAGAGAAAAATAACATTAAACAACAAAAACCAATTGCAATTTAATACAAAAGAAATAAAATAAAAGATGAAAATAATAGAGAAAATAAATACTATTGAAAGAGCAAAATAAGAAAGTTGTGTTTATTTTAGCCAGAGATTTAGGAATGAAAGAAGAGTGCACAATATTATTTAGAGATAACAACAAAAATTATTAATATTTACTGTTAGTACATAAAAAAGTGTTAATTTAAGAAAGAAGGACAAATAAAGGTATTTGAAATTATAAAAACATTAGATCCTTGATATTTCAGTAGAATATTCTTGTCACTCAATTTTCAATGACATAATATTTTTATGGTAAAATTTCAAAAATATTTTCACAATAAACGAGAATAGCTGTGTCAACAGCACCATCTAGAGATCATAACTGAAGCACGAGTTTCTCACAAAGAATAAGGTCGTTTATTGCAGTTTTAGCTTTAAAAATCTTTTTACCATAAAGACTTCTAAAGACTTTTTTATGAAAACTTTGAGAAGTTTTCATTTAAAGTTTCTAAAAAGTTCTTTTTTATATAAAAATTAAAGAAATTTTATTTGGTGCCACCAGCAATTCTTAAATAAATAAAAGAATTTCATTGCGTTTTACAATGCAAATTAACATCTAACATTAATCACTGTTCAATTAATGCCCAACATTAATTTTATTATATTTGCAAAAACTTTTGAAAGGATTAAAAAAATCAAATAAAAAACAAACCAGTAGAGTTTTAACAAAAAACAAATGTAAGACGTAAAAAATGTGTAGCATGTAAAAAGTAACAGAAAATATTTACCAAAAAAAAAAAAAAATAATATAAAAAACCACAATTTGTAACATGAATAATTGAAAGAAAATAATTAAAATATAAACCCACAAAACACACTCATATACAGTAATAAAAAACCATTGGTAAGTCAATTTATATAGAATAAACATCAACAAACACACACTCAAACACAACAAAACGGAAGTTTAAACAACAGCGTTGTTTTTTCCCCTTAAAGCACAAAACAAACAACGGAAGTTAAAAAGAAACAAAATGCCAAATATAAATAAAACAACAAAAAAATTAAAGAATATTAATAAGTTAAAAAAAAACGAAATAAACAAAACAAAAAACATATTAATTATATAAAAAATTTATGACAAACAAACAAAGAAAAACAAACATTTTTTGGTAAAAAGTAAATAACAATTAAATTTAAATTTGAAAACTAAACTGAGTTTTAAATTAATCTTAAAATTAAAATCACAAAAAAAACAATGTTCAAATTAAGCTGCATATAAATTGCAAAGCGATTATTTACAGCCCCAAACCAAAATTTAACATGTAATTGAAAATTTATTATCATTTTTTTATAATTTTTCATAAAGCAAAAAAATTGATAATTTAAAATTTTAATTTATTGCTAATTTTAGGTAAATTGAGTTTCATATTTAGAGATATGGTTAAAAAAGTAAATTTAACTACAAATTAACAAAAAAAAACTTTACAATTTAATTGCACAGTCCATTATTATTATAAACTATAAATATTAAATTATAATTATTATATTGAAATGATACAGAAAAAAGTAATATATAAAAGAAATCAGTAAAAAATAAAATTCCCTTTTAACCAGATCCTAAACATCCCCCAAAAACCAGTCTTCTTTAATTATATAATAAAAATAAAAAGTAATTTAATAAAAAAACAAACCGTGTGTTTCATTTCAAATCAGAAACCCATTGTAATTTTCATGGGTTCGATTCACCTTCAACGGTGATTCAGGTGGAATCAACAAACAAACAAACAAACAAACAAACAAACAAACAAACAAACAAACAAACAAACAAACAAACAAACAAACAAACAAACAAACAAACAAACAAAGGCTTTATAATAAATAATTAAGGTTTAAAAAGCTTAAAAAAGCTTTTTTTAATAAGAATTCTTTTAAATGATGCTTAGAATAAAACTTAGATTAAAAACGATTTGAAAAGCTTGACTAAAGTTTTATAAAGTATTTAAATGCACTTAAATAAAGCTTTAAAAGGCTTTTTTAGTAAAGTTTCCGCTTGTTTAGTATGGCTTTGTATTTTTTAGTAAAGCTTAAAGAACTATCTTAAACATTTTTTAACAAAGTTTTAAGAAATATTTTAAGCATTTTAAAACATTATTCAATAAGGTCTGGGAAATAGCCTTAAAATAAAATAAACTTATGTATTAGGGCTTCAAAATGGATTGTAAAACCATAAATGGAATGAAAAGTGATATCATTTTTATTTCTCATTAAAATAGAAATCTGAACAGAGTTATTTTCTCAATATGAGGCCTATTTAAGAACTGCAGCAGCATTATAAAAAAATATATTTTCGCACAATATAGCTAAATGGATTTTTGAATAGTATCTCATGATTTTTCTATGTAGTGTATCACTTAAAATCCGAGTTGGTAAAAAATATGTATATAAATATACATATTTACCTAACAAAACAAATATCCAATTCTCATACCAATAACAATTTTAACTATGAATTTACTTAGCCAACGGTTAATATTTCAATACAATTTAAATCTATTAAAAAATACAATACCAAATCCACAATGAAAACAAAATAAATTAAATATAAAAATAAAACAAATCATTGACCATTTTCAATTAAATTCAATATAGACATCAGGTTTTTTTCTCCACATTTATATCGACCATAAAATAAATATATATAAAAAAAAGAAAACTAAAATTGTTGAAAAAAGGTAAAATATTCAACTTACATTTGCAAACAACTAAATTTAGTTGTTGTAAACTAAAGTGGAATAAATTTTTAATATGAAACCAATAGAAATTGTAATCTGCTGAAGGCTGACAACAGCAGCCAACAACTTATATATACACAGCAACAATACAACACTTAACAAATAACTATTCATTCAATTCCATATTGATTGAAGTTTTTTTTTAAATAATTGAAGAGCATTAAATTCTTTTTCAGTTTATTTTTTCTATTTTTTTTTTTTTTTTTTTTTTTGTAAAAGGTCAACACTCGAGAATATAACATTACACAAGTAACTACAACAATGAAATAGTTAAATTAAGTATTGAATTCTACTTTCGAATTTGCTATCCATGTATTGGTTAATCTAGAAAACTGCAGACTACTGTTGTTATTTTTGTAGATTATTTAATTTTCGTTGAAGGTAAAAAGGGACTAAATTGCTGAAGCTTTAAAATTGGTTTTCATAAAACTTTATATAAGCAAAACCTTAAAAAGCTTCTTTTAAATAATGCTTTTTAAGTAAAGCTTTAAAACGCTTGTTTTAAATAATAATTAGTAATTAAATGAATAATAGCTTTTTTATTTTAAGAATAAAAAGCTTTTCTAAAAGCTTTTCAACAAAAACTATTAAAAGTGCTTTTTAATGTAAACATTAAAAAACTTATTGAAATACAGCTTTTTTTAGCTCTTTTAAAGAAAACTTTAAAAATTTAATTTTAAATAAAAATTTTATAATTTGTATAATATAAAGCTATAAACAATTTTTTTTAAAAACAAACCTAAAGAAAGCTTTTCTTAAAAAAGATTTTTTTTAAAAAGCTTTAATAAAAAACATTTATTTGTGTTTAAGAGAGAGTTAATGTAAAAAAAACTTGTTCATAAAGTTTTCGCGTAAAGGCAAGCTAAATAATAGAGCTTTAAATATACATATAATACATAACTTCTTTAAGAAAGCTTTAATGAAAGCTTTCGACAGATAGTGTATTGTACATAAATTTGCAACAATTTCTAAATCCTTTACCAATTTAATCCACACATTTTTTATACCTTATAAACAAATCAAACGGCAATTTTATTTGTGTTTTTTTTTATGATACAAAAAGTACACAGATAATAAAATAATAACAGCTACAGGAAAATAAAAAAAAAACCTTCATTAGAAAGGGAAATTTGTTTTTCGGTTTGTTGTTTTATTTTTTCTTTTTCCATGTAACAGTTTTCCTATAAAGTCGGTCGGTTGTTTAACTAAGTTGAATTGAATTGGTAACTTGTTTAACTAAAAGGTCTAATATTTATTTTATTTTAACAACATACAAATTTCCATGAATTTTAAATTTATTTTATAAAACTCTCTCTCTCTAAACCTACCAGTCCTTTTACCACTTGTCCATTGCCACAATCTGTAGCACCCTCTGGCAGTTTTTCTTTGCGAATATACCTTCCTATTGATTGGTATTGTGTTTGACTTTGAAAAGTGAAAATTACAACTGGCAACCAACCCCTTTTTTGTTGTTGCTATTGCTTTTAGATGTTTCTTTTTATTTAGATTTAACAAAATTATTTTGAAATTTGAAGGTAGCTAAACAATTTCAACAGCCATTGAATAAATAAAGAGCTACAAATTGAAAGTGGAGTATAGGAAAAAATAAATAAAAAATAAACGTAAATTGTAAAGTATGTCGAGTGAATTTTTTATTGACAATAAACCATGTTGTTAAATTAAAATAAAAAATAAACAGGGTGGAAAAGATGATTTGCTGCAATTGATGTTAAATATTCAAGGCTTGGATATAAATACAATTTTAAACTTTAGTTTATTTAACGCTTAAATACAGGATTTTTTTAAAATGGTGTATTTTTACTATAAACCACCTGCTAAACAGGAATAATCTGCAAATAAATTGGAAAAAGTACTAATCCTAATGTAGGAAAACATTGCCTTTATTTATTAGATATTATTTGCAATTATTATAGTTCTCTAAACTGAATCAATATACCCTCACAAATAATTAATTCCATACGAAAAATTTCAATTTTATACTTAAAGTCATTATTTTTCATTTTGAGTTCAAAATTTAAACGTTAACATTTACCGTATGATTTTTATTTAATTAATGAAAACAATATTAAGAATACGCCTTGGGTGATCACTATAGTAAATGTTTGTGTTCATACAAATAATTTTAAATACAAAATCGGTATGATTTATATTTACACAATCGCTTACTTTTCAATGACTACAACATACCGTCAGTATTCCTTTTAAGTACTTTTATAATGACTTACATATAATCAGATACGTAAGTACTTTTTTCGAGTTTTGAGCCGTTTTATTTGCACATTTTATTTTGCAAGTGTTTTTTTACACAGACAGAATAATAAAAGTAAATAAGTACAGTCGGGTTGACTATATGATACCCTACACCAATTATGTGTGAATCTAAAATGTGTATTAATTTTAATAGTAAAGCATTTATGTTGAATTTTTCCTTAATTTCGATATATTTTTGATGAAAAAATTATTTTCTGATGGAGGCTATATATGGGGGCTTGGCTAAAATATGAATCGATCTTAACAAAATTTGATGGAGGGTTTTTTGTTGACATTAAAGTTAATTATGCCGAAATACACGTGTTTATAAGTGGCGTTCAAGCATTTTCAGAAGGGGTCTTTGCAAGAGGGTTAAAGGGCCGCTTATTACGAAATTTTGCAGTAACATTTATACTTGTAAAAAACGTAGTTGTGACTATTTTTGTAGGGATGTTAGTGTTGACAACAACAAGCACGCGAAACGAAACAAAGCAAAAAAACTACTCAAAGCAATGAAACCAACAGACATCCAAACATACGTTTTTTCCAATATGGAATGTTGTTGTTGCTTTTTTATCAAATCATGCTATAAATCCTAAATTTTTGACGAAATTTTCAGAGGTTGTTTCGGATTTTTGCACATATCTCCGTTATTTATGGAAGGAGTTCGCTTATTTTAAATAGGAATTTTCTCGGGAGCATTTCGGACAGAATTATTGAAAATTTGGATCCCGAAAATACTCAGAAAATAAATTTCAACCCGCAGACGGACGGACATAGCTTAATCGACTCCACTATCTATATGGATCCAAAATATACACAGGGTCGGAAAATTATATTGTGGAAATTACAAACGGAATGACAAACTTATATATACCCTTCTCACGAAGGTGAGGGGTGTAATAAGTCGTTAAATAAACCTAGTTTTATCGTATAATTGTGTTCAGTAATGAGACTCATTTTTGTCTTTAGTGGTGTTTGGGTGAAACTCTTATAGGAGAGGGAAAATGCTGAACAAGAGATGTA